TTGTATTCTAGGCAATGCTAATCCTTTTTTTTTTTACAGGGGGACGAGCAAGTGAAAATATTTAATACAAAATAGGCTAGCAAGCAGTTCGCGCCAGCGAAGAGTTTCGAATTTGTTATACCACTTATATTTTCCTATTTTCATTTGTCTTAATTTTTCAGGGCCGTATGCGGAATATTTTTCTGGTGGGGGAGGGGGAAAGATGCGTTAAAAGTTTTTGAAGAATCTCAAAAGCAAAAGGATTGAAGGGAATTCGAGCGACCGAACTGGTCATGAGGGTACTTTGGCATTTTCAAAAGTAGAATTGAAGGATTTGGTATAGGCCTACACTACATTTTCAGGAAAAAAAATGTACGTTTTCAAAATATCTGGGGTCAACTGCCCCCCCCCCCTGGTTCGTACGGCCATGGTCTTTTTTTTAATTTCCCCATTTTTTTCCTTTCCTTTTCTTTTCCCTTTTTCTTCCTTTTTTCTCTTTCTTTCCTTTTTTTCTTCCCTTTTTCTTTTTTCTTTTTCTTTCCTTTCCTTTCTTTTCTTTTCTTTCCCCTTTTTCCTTTTTTCCCCTGGAGCCCGTCAGGGGGGGGGGCACTCTGCCCCCCTGCCCCCCCCATAGGTACGCCAGTGATGACCATTGTAGCAATACAAATGAAACACTAGTCATATATTCGTATAGTAAAGACAATTTAGTCTGTAATTATTGTCTTATTTACATGATTATTCTAGCAATTCAAATTGAACAGTTTTCGGACCACTTGATGATGAACCATATATTTATTGTATTTATTACCTTCACGTGCAACATCATTGTAGCAAAAGAAGTGAAACAGTATTCATACAGCTAAGAAACTATCCTCTGAAATTATTAAGCTGGATTATACATGATTGTTGCAGCCATACATCAAAAATATTTTCATATAAGCTTATAATAACGCTTATATTCATTTCAGTTATATACATGAACATCGTAGTAAAACAAATAAAATAAAATCTTGCAATGAAGAAAATATCTTCTATAATTATTATCATAATGTATATTATTATTGTAGCAATAGAAAGGCAAAAGGTTTCAAACAACCTTGCAGTAAAGAAAATATCCTCTGAAAATGTTATAAAGCTACCTTATATACCGTACATGATTGTTGTAGCCATACAACTAGAACCGTGTTCATACAACCTAATAATAATGCATACGTTCATTTCAGTTAATACTTAGTGTACATGATCATTGTAGTAACAGAAATGAGTACACTTCATAAAACCTTGCAATGAAGAAAATATCTCCTGTAATTAATGTCTTACAGTGTATATATAAATACATGAGTACGTGACCATAGTAGCAATACAAGTGATACACTGGACATACATGTATAGCCTCATAGTAAAGACAATTTAGTCTGTAATTATTGGCTTATTTACATGATTATTCGATCAATACAAATTGAACAGTTTTCAAACCACCTCATGATGAACCATATATTTATTGTATTCATTACCTTTACGTCAACATCTATTTAGCGAAAGAACTGAAACAGTATTCATACAATTTATAAAATATATCCTAAACATATATTCTGTAATTATGATCCTATGTATATGATTAATGTAGCAACAGAACAGCAAAAGTTTTCAAACAACCTTGCAATAAAGAAACTATCCTCTGAAATTATGAAGCTACATTATGATTGTTGCAGCCATACATCAAAAATCTTTTTCATTTAATCTTTTTCATATAATCTGATATTAATAACGCTTATTTTCATTTTCATTATTTAAATGATTATGATAGTAAAACAAATGGACTAGTCATATAGCCATATACTGTATATATTAAAGACATTTTTGTCTCTAATCATTATTCTAGTAATACAAATGTGCACTAGCATTTAAGTAATAGAACTGAAAACTGAAACAGTATTCATACAACAACAACATCTATTCTGTAATTATTGCCATAATGTATATGATTATTGTAGCAATAGAACTGAAACAGTATTCATACAACAACAACATCTATTCTGTAATTATTGCCATAGTGTATATGATTATTATAGCAATAGAACTGAAATATTATTCATACCACTTGACTAAGAAAATATATTCTGTAATTATCATAATGTATATGATTATTGTAGCAGTAAACAAGCAAAAGTTTTCAAACAAGTTCTTGCAATAAAGAAAATATCCTCTGAAGTTATAAAACTACCTTATATAAAGTGTACATAATTGTTGTAGCCATACAAGTAGAACTGAGTTCAAACAACTGTATAATAATGAATATATTTATTTCAGTTAATAGTGTATATAATCATTTTAGTAAAAGAAATGAGCACTCTTCATATACCTTGCAATAAAGAAAATATTCTCTGAAATTATAAAGCTACCTTATATACATAATTGTTGTAGCCATACAACTAGAACCATGTTCATACAACCTTGTGGTAACGCATAATTCATTTCAATTAATGCCTATTGTACATGATCATTGTAGTGAAAGAAATGAGTAGTCTTCATAAAACCTTGGTTACCTTATTTATGTAACATTTTAATGTTTCCATTATTTTAACGATCCTCGCTAAATGCAGCAGATTTTCCCCTTCAAAATTGGCAGAATTTATTCGTGGGTGTTTTTTTTTAATTCAACTGTTCAAGACATTGCATTGAAACAATTTTTTCTGCTATATGAAGAAATGGTGACAGATAATACTATAAACGCATTAAACTTCAACTATTCATTAACCATTATCAAATGGAAAAGGCATGCACACAAAATCTATGCCATTTGTGTCTGACAAAAAAAATCGACCCCATCTCAGAGACAATTGTCGCCATCTCACATAAGATCAGCGCCATATCCTATAAATATGCGGCACTATATCTCACATAGAAATAGGCACTTTCACATATAAAATCTTTGCAACAAAGCTACTATAAAAGTCAGCATCATCTCACATGAAGTTAATACCATTTCTCATCAAATTGACGCCATGTGTTAAAACCTAGGGCACCTCCATACGAAATATCAGCAATATCTCAAATAAAAAAAACGTGCCAAATCTTACATAAAATCTACGTCGCTAGTCTCCGATGAAAACCAGTACCCTCTCACATAGAATCTGTGCCGCTTGTCTCTAATAAGAGCCGGTACTATTTCACCAAAAATGGGAAACTTCTCGCATGAATTTGGCATCCTGTTGGTGTATATCTATACGTGGACACATCACATCACATGTTAGTACACTGTACATATACATGTATATCTTAGCGCTCAATTAATAGCAAATCGGTATTTTGGAGGGTCACTTACATTGTAAGTGCCCATTTCCAGTTAGCACGATAGGCTTCGCGTGTATGCTTTCATGCACGGTTGTGGGTGTGCGCAAAGTAGTTAAATGCGGAGTTAAAAAAAGTTTACTTTTCTGAAAACTGTGTTCAATAGCCGTCATTAATTTTAAAAAGATAAAAGGTCTTTTAGGGCCTCTGTTTTTAAACGAAACTATAAACTTTTATGAAACTACACACTTTTACTGTATTTTCTTGTTACGTAAATGATGTTCAATGGAAAGGACACTTTTGATTAAATTAGAATTTAGAAAATTAGAAAAGCGGAGTGGTGTAAATTATACTTTTAAATGTTTGGTGGGTGTTTCAAGTCAAGTAAATTCACATCATCACATGGCCCTCTGAAACCTAGTCTCCTATGTTGAAGTTGACGATCATATACATACCTTTTCTTTGTTACAGCACATATGATTGGTATAAGTGAGGTAAAGAAGGAGTTAATGAGCACTAAATGAGCTTTAGAATACCAATTTAGATGTATAGTACTGCTCACTTAACCTGAGGACTTAACAGGGAAGTTAAGTGAGCTTTAGAATACCAATTTAGATGTATAGTACTGCTCACTTAACCTGAGGACTTAACAGGGAAGTTAAGTGAGCTTTAGAATACCAATTTAGATGTATAGTACTGCTCACTTAACCTGAGGGCTTAAAAGGGAAGCTAAGTGAGCTTTATAGAATACCAATTTAGATGTATAGTATTGCTCACTTAACCTGAGGACTTAACAGGGAAGTTAAGTGAGCTTTAGAATACCAATTTAGATGTATAGTACTGCTCACTTAACCTGAGGACTTAACAGGGAAGTTAAGTGAGCTTTAGAATACCAATTTAGATGTATAGTACTGCTCACTTAACCTGAGGACTTAACAGGGAAGTTAAGTGAGCTTTAGAATACCAATTTAGATGTATAGTACTGCTCACTTAACCTGAGGACTTAACAGGGAAGTTAAGTGAGCTTTAGAATACCAATTTAGATGTATAGTACTGCTCACTTAACCTGAGGGCTTAAAAGGGAAGCTAAGTGAGCTTTATAGAATACCAATTTAGATGTATAGTATTGCTCACTTAACCTGAGGACTTAACAGGGAAGTTAAGTGAGCTTTAGAATACCAATTTAGATGTATAGTACTGCTCACTTAACCTGAGGACTTAACAGGGAAGTTAAGTGAGCTTTAGAATACCAATTTAGATGTATAGTACTGCTCACTTAACCTGAGGACTTAAAAGGGAAGCTAAGTGAGCTTTAGAATACCAATTTAGATGTATAGTACTGCTTACTTAACCTGAGGACTTAAACAGGAAGTTAAGTGAGCTTTCAGAATACCGCCTCTGGTAGATTTTTAAAGTCTTGAAACTCTGCAAAAAACAAATATAACAACATGTTAGGGATGCAAAATGAGTATTACACGAAACAATGAACGTTAAAAAATAAAAAAAAATATACACATTTTCACTTACATGGTTACTTACACAACATCTACAAGTAAGCGTTATCATGTATAAGACTAACATATCAGCAGAAGATGCAAGCATCCAGAAATAATTAACGTATACACATGAAATGTATTTACATTGCGTTAGGAGGTTTATCAAACATTGTGTGACTGAAGGAGAAAAGAATACTGGCAAAAAAAACGAACAAGAAATCAAACAAGAAATCACTACCGATAGTAGAGTATGTCTCTGCATGTTGAAAATGTCATTAAATGCGGTTTAATCATCATGAAAATAAAATCATAAATCTCTACGATTAAGAAAAAAGGTAGAATTTACACGAAGTGATATAAATTAAGATCTTTCATCACGTTACTAGTCAACCGACCATTGGAAACATCCGCAAAAAGAGGAATAGTCATATTTCAGTGTTGAGTGTACTGTATTCATTAAGATCTATGTACATCTCACTCTTACTCTCTTCTTCTGGTTTTACACCTAATCCACGTACTTGTCTACAAGTCCTCCCGCTTCTATCTCGATGAGGATTGCATTGAGATCCTTTCTGGTCCGAGTTGATGCAGCTTTCCATGTTTGAAGGAGGTGTATGTACTGTTCAGTTATCTCTCTAAACTCCTTTCTAATACCTTCAGCGGTGCTGTAATCGATGCAAAGAGCAACGTAAAGAGGGCTCCACCGATCAGGTGGTAGAAGCTTTGCTACTTTCAGGATATTCGCATCTGTCACTTTCTGTTCATCTGATGGACTGAAATTTAAAACATTACTCGTAATAATGCATTAAACCATCGTCTTTTTTTAAGTTATTCATATATATATCTACAAAATCATTTAAATCTTTATATATATAGCATGCGCATATTTTGATGCATAACATTACAAAAATTCAAAGTTAAATAAAATTATTACTTGATAAAGCTCTAAAGGCAGAAACAATTTCTTTGTGTATGGAGCATCATTGTTTTTTTAATTTTTGTGTACCGGTATTTTCTATAACTCCAAGCAAAAATCTAGACTTCCTTCTATATTAACACCCACCCATCCACCCACACCCACCCATACACACACACCAACAAATATGTTGTGGTTCTACTCACATTTCATTTCTGGTTAGTGTAGGAGCATTCTGTTCTGTAGTCTCTTTGCCGATCCCTGTCACAAACACAAATAATACAGATTATCAATTTTGTAAGCACTTTTTTTTTAAATATTAGTATTCGTCTACTTGAAACAGCCTCCTATATATCCTCCATGTGCCTGTTCCCGAGCTTCCTATGTCGCTGTTTCAAGCTTTAGTATATTAACAAGGGTTATCTACATAATAGTAAGAAAGAATTGACATTCGATCAAAAGCCAGTTGGACCAAAACCCAGATCATCTATTTTCCCTAACTCTATACACAGATTTTCTCCACTATACATGTACACACTTGGTCCAGTCATCGTTTCGTACAATCAATATTCAGTCTAAATAGCAAGTAGGGCCCATCAATAATAGCCACTTCCTCAAATCAATAATTTGTACGACTTGATCTAATAAACATTTAGTCCATAATTATTCGGTCCATTTCCCATTTTCTCAGTAATAAAATGGTCTGAACCCCAATTACTCCAAATTATTTGTCCAAACACATAACTTCCATGGTTTAGTCATTTACAGGTGATCTACCTTAATTTTGTATATATATTCATTTCATCTTCACTGTATGGTTGAATGAAATATCCGAATTAGTTGTGGCCTTTACTATGCTTAATAGGCCTACATATGTACATCATGATATCCAGTTTTGATGGTAAAGACGCTCAACCTTAACTTCTATTTATTTCAATGTTGTGTTCATTTAATTTCTGTGTTGCGTTTATATATACACTACATATGTCAAGTTGTACCGTGCACATTACCAATAGGATGTCATTTTGCCGCAGTAAGGCCTTTGTGATAGGCTATGATATACTCGGGGATTAGAACAACTAAGCACCTGCATGAAATATTTTACCTTGGAAACGTGTGTTGAATTTGATCTTCTTTGTAGATGTTTGACCCACTTCAAGTGTCACTACCGGTAATGTCTCATCACTCTCCTTGGTTAGATCGAGCTCAAAGTACTCTGTCACCTTCGTTTGTGTCCTCATGTCGCTGAACTGAATAGTCTGAGGAAATTGCCCGATTATATAATTAATTTGCATTCATGATTGTATGAAGTATGTGCTGTAACGCAGATGAAGTCTATTGATAAAAATATTGTTCGAACTTTGTCTGATCTATTCCATCGTTTCGCATCTAATTTCTTCAATCCCCAGCTTCCAACGTCGATTGCATGAACCTATTTTGTTATTTTTCAGTGAATTTTGTCAAAGCGCCATGAAAATTTGTCACTCGTTCGCTTGCTATAATTATATACATGTATGTGTTACATTATGTCTTTTCTTTTCTACCCGAAACATGCTTTAAAGAATTAAAAAATACATATATATATATATATATATATATAATTCTAGTAGCGTTAGTCTATGAATATCTATTATCATTATCACCATCAGAATGATTCAATTGAGTTCATCAGCACTTTGTTTTAATTTTTTCTCCTGTTGGCTCTGCATTGATTATTCTAACTTTTATCATGAACTGGTCTTTTTTTCCACATTGCCCTTGTTTCAATTTATTTCAACTAAGTATAGCAATTCTGAGAACCAAGGTATACTTACATGTACATCTGATTTGCAAGCGACTGTTAGTGTTCCTTCCCGAAACACAATGTCATCGTCGTCCCCCTTCACAGGTTTGAAACAGGGGTCATTTAATTCGTGGACATGGTACTGAAAAATGTACAAAAAGTGTACAAAAATGATTCTGATAAAGTTATCTGGAAATCATCGAGCAGATAGAAATCATATGTATAATTGTAATCTCGGATTTAGGTGTATTTTTACTAAAGTACACGCTGGAAACATCATGAGGAATAAGATTTGGTACGGTTGCATGGGTCATCTAACTCATTTCGATCAGTGAAAATGGGCTTTATCTGTCAGGAAAATCAGAAATCTAAAATAACATGCAAAGTGGCATCGATTGAAAGTAACACCCAAACAGTAGCCTTCTATTCACAGTAGGGATGTCATAGATATGTCTAAAAGTATATTTTCGGCATCGGGATATTCATTCGTTTAATTGATATTATGAAAGTGGAAAATTTACAAGGTATAGTCTAAAATGCAAGACAGTTATCAAGATATATGTGAGAGAGAGGGATGAGAGAGAGGGATGATGGAGGAGTCCTGAAAAGGACTGTTGGTGTAGTCTTGAAAAAGACTGTTGGTTATCTTTCTTAGCTTATAGTTCTCTGAGAGGATGGGTGGTGGGAGTGGCTCGACGTTTCAAGATATCAAGTTATTTCAAGTTATCAAGATATTGACTAGTCCATGCTCCATGAATATTTACAACCAAGACTAAAAAAGCAACACCAAAAAAAGAATTATATCATTATTTCAAGGACCAAAAGATGCCGAAGGTAGGTTTTAACATACAAACACTTGTGGTTAAAATGATAAATTTGCTTTAATTTTTTTAATATGACAAGGCACAAAAACTGTTAATTTGCAACAGAGATTAGTAGTGGGAATGTACCACATCCTCACCATCGACGCCAGGATAAACAAAGCCTTTCTACAGTGAACAGGCTTAGATACGCCCCCTAAAAATGGTGTTAATTGATGTCTGTTTACCCATTTCTGGTCATGTGGCTTCTTGACGAAGCGAACCTCCAGTATTGGTTTCCTGGAGGGAGGCATGAGGCTGGGAAGAAACGACATGCACGACAGTAATATACCCTTCAGAGATCGCCTGTTCCGAATAAAGGCAAAGAATCCTCCAGAAAAATGGCTGATTGAGACCTCTAGCCATCGTTCTTGTACGGAACAAATAATGTCGGGATCCGAAAGCCGTTCAGGTGTACCTTTTAAATAATTTTAAAAAGACAGGAAAGTTTCTCAAATGTAATACCTCTTAAGCTTAACATAGTGCGACTGGTATACAATTCAAAAGGGAAAATTACAAAAACAAGACTAACTTTATTATATCTATTGTTTGTACTATAATATATATTATTTATGGCTTTATGAATACTAAATATTTATATATTTGTCAATTAAATTCAATGAAAAAATTATTTCTGTCACAAAATCAAAATGAACATTATATTCATGGAACATTTCTTTCATGAATCTATCCTGGATAAGGAAAGGAAAAAACGCGTACCTGGGCCTTAATCAGTTAATGGAGGAAATTTAAAAAAAAAAAATTTTCTGATGACCGTTATTAATATATCCTTATAACACTAACTACTGTTAAATTTTGTGGTGACAATTTAAAAAGTATATAGCATTTGCAAAGAACCCCTAAAACCACAGAATTGGTTTAAAGTTGTGAACTGATTGGGAATGCAAGGTAGATCTTGACATTACGTGTAAATGTACATTCATAATTCATAATTTATGACAATAAACATCAAAGGCTTAATTCACTTAATGGACATCCTCATACAATGCTATTTTTGGCAATATTGCCATTTTAATTCGGGCCGTATTTTGTCACTTTTGCATTAATAAAACTATAGGAAACAAAGCAATGTAATTAATGTCAGAGTATTGTGAATTCTACTGTTAGTTTTATTACCAAATTGTCAAACTTAGTATTAAATACGAGGTCATGATTGGGTGGCATAATAGATTGACGTATTTTGAGTTCCCGACATTTGTTGTGAATATTTTCAAAGCATTGATGTAGCCGACATCGCAAACTAAAAATTTAGAAACGGCATTAATCATAGGTCGTATGTCGGATCTCATGTCATATTTGGAACTAAAAGTTGTGACAATGTCTATACAGCTATAACCACAGTTCACCAATTGCAGGGCTTGGGGAGTTTAAGCATCCCCACATTAAACATGTCAAATTACGTGAAATCTGCAGTGGCAATGATGGCCACAGATGACCTTGAATTGCAGAGGCGACTTCCCCCCCCCCCATTATAATACCAATGAAAAATATAAAACAAAAATACTAGAAATATCATAACTCATCCCATAAAATTGTTGCTTGATTAGGATTTGGGTTCTCGACCTAAACGTGATTTAGTTACCTGACTGATTCCATGAATACAGTATGGTCTTTACATCGTTAGGAGTAGTGACTAATGCACAGTGAGGTATTATCAGCTTTGCCGGTTTCTTAAAGCGTAGCCCGGATGGGTAACACTGGAAGCCATGGCTGACTAGAAGCTCATCCTCTTTAAGTGTGAGGCCATTTGGAATCGCAGTCAGTACCAGAAGGCTGATTTTCTCATCTTCCTCAAGGGCACCAGGTGGAATGTGGAGAGTAAACCCATGGGATTTGGTTGACAGCTTTCCACCTAGGGCCCCAAACTTTCCAGTTGCAGAACTACCATCTGATAACAGCAATGCAAATATATCTATTAATATCGTTTTTATTTCAATCTTGTCCACAATAAGATAAACTTTATTGCTAATCCATTCACAAGGGTTGTGTAAATGACTGAAACTCTGATATGCAATGCGAGTTTATGGTATTTCAATCAGGGCCTAGGTAATCAATAATGTATTCTCCACATTACACTTTATTTATATATATCTTTTTATTTCTCTTTTTTTAGGATTTGGGAACTAAATCAGCGTTCATCTCTCGTAATTGGACCATTGATGTGGGTCTCCATACAGGAATACGAATGTAGTGTTCTTAAGGGGGTAAGTGGATGAGTTGTGTGTGCGCCAGTAAATTACCCAGACAATAAATTATTAAATACCTTTTTCTTCCTGATGGAAAACCAAAAATATCACGTTTTAATCATTGCTAAACTTGTTTAATCCATGCCTTAACAGATAAGAAAATCAAATATCAGAAGCACTTGTTGAGCTGTTTGTGTTTGAAGGATGTTCTTACCTCCATCAGACTTGATCTCCTTTAAAGAAGGTAATCTGAAATTAATCATACATAAAAAGTGGTTAAGTCAATTTTATACAATTTGGGCAGACGCATATGGGAGGACAATTATTACTTTTAAATGAGGCTCTAATCTTAGCATTAGGTATAAAAAGAAGAAAATAATACATATTTTTGCACTTGGTAGAGCAGTAAAATACAAACTTATGAAGAACTACAGTTAGAATATATCTTCTAAACGAACGTGGTAGAAAATGTGAATCGTTGACCTGAGTAGAAAGGAAACAGAGATAGAGTAGTCGACTTTGTAAGCCTGATTTAGAAGCCCCAAACAAATTAAAAGTCCCAAACAAATTAAAAGTCACAATTGTCACATAGAATGTAAAATCGAATTGTCCCACTGTCACATCTTCTGTAAAAATAAACTACCAAAGTTTACACTAAAGCCAATGGAATGGCTGTTTACCGATTTTGGCATTCCTTTACCACATCTAAAAAAAAGTAATTTCTTTTATCAATCTTTTGCCTGAAAATTGATGGGGAAAATAATATTCCCTGTGATATGAAAGAATCACCTCAACAAAATCATCTGTTTGACCACGTCGTCCTTGGCATATTGGAAGGGTACATTGCCTTTTTCATCCTTAACATCTAACTTGGCTCCATTCTCTAGAAGATAAAACACCAAAGCCCTCTCGGGAGAAAGTTCGCCCTTGTAATACTCATCAGAGATCTAAAATGAAAAAAACAATTGTTTTCTTCTTAGTACAGCATCGTCCATCAATAGTCAAGGTGGATACGCATCACAATCATAGTTTTACGCTGCCTCTTGGATTTGCAGTTTTGGAAATCCCTATTTACGTTGTAAACTTCCCCATAAACACAAATATATGCTCAAACACCAACATACAAATTTTCTTGGACCAATCACGCCATTATGACAACATGTAGACTCCAAAACTGACCAATATTTTGTCATAATTTAATTGTTGTTCAGACTCTCGTCGGTCTGGTGTCCGTCTCATAGGTGTTACTCACCTTTCTTAGTGCGTCAGTTTCTTGCACAATTTTCTCGCTGTTATAGCAGAGTTTAATTGCTTTATGGAGACACGTCTGTCCGTCAGGTGACTGGATATTGAGATCAGCTCCCTCAGAAACTAATTTCTCAATGGTAGAGGTATGACCATCTTGGATGGCAAGATGGATATCCGTTAAATCATTCTGGACAAGATGGACATAAGAAAATATGCAGCATGAAAACTTGAGAATTAACAACAACAAAATTATTGACAGGTGATCAAATAATTCAAATGATTCTAGTACTTGTAACTCATCTATGACATCTATAAAACAGCAACGAGGTATAACTACAGTTATGATTATGTATACCGGTAAATATAAGTGGAGATACAAAGGCAGTAAAGTCAGCTTCGAGCTGGTCAAGTGTGAAAAACAATGATAGGTAGTATGTAGCCAAAGCCTTATATGCTCTAATTTTAATTTCAGTACTTGTTATTTTACATCCATGTATTGAAAACATCTAGGTAGATACATTTGACATAAAGAGTTTTTTTTTTAATGTTTACCTTGGAATGGGAATGGTCCAAGAATAGATCAGCAATGCTTTCGTAGCCGAGGATTGAAGACAGATGTTGAGGTGTCTGGCCGTGAACGTCTCCTATGTCAAAACTTGCTTCTCCTGTCATAAGAACTTTAACAACATCAAGGTTACCATTCCAAACAGCACTGTGTAATGCAGTCCAACCATCATTATCTCCCTTATTCACCTGAGCTCCTTGACTAATCAGATATTCAATGATATCAAGATGGCCATGATCAGCAGCACTGTCTAATGCAGTCCTACCCTTATCATTTCCTTTATTCACCTCAGCTCCTTGACTGATCAGATATTTGGTGATATCTAGATGACCATTCTGAGCAGTATTGTGTAGTGCAGTCCAACCCTCATCATTTCCCTCATTCACCTCAGCTCCTTGACTGATCAGATATTTGGTAGCATCAAGATGACCCTCCTGAGCAGCACTGTGTAGTGCAATCCAACCATATTTATCTCCCTTATTCACCTCAGCTCCTTGACTGATGAGATATTTGGTAACATCAAGATGACCATTCTGAGCAGCACTGTGTAATGCAGTCCTACCCTCTTTATCTCCCTTATTCACAGCCCCTTGACTGATGAGATATTCAGTGATATCTAGATGACCATTCTGTGCAGCACTGTGTAATGCAGTCCAACCGTCATTGTCTCCCTTAATCGCCTCAGCTCCTTGACTGAAGAGATATTTGATAACATCAAAATGACCATTGTGAGCAGCACTGTGTAATGCAGTCCTACCATCATTATCTCCCTTATTCACCTCTGCTCCTTGACTGATGAGATACTTGGTGATATCAAGATAGCCATGATCAGCAGCATTGTGAAATGCAGTCCAACCGTCATTATCTCCCTTATTCACCTCAGCTCCTTGACTGATCAGATATTTGGTGACATCAAGATGACCATTCTGAGCAGCACTGTGTAATGCAGTCCTACCCTCATTAGTTTCCTTATTCACCTCAGCTCCTTGACTGATCAGATCTTTTGTGACATCAAGGTGACCCTCCTGAGCAGCACATTGTAAGACAGTCCACCCATCATTATTTTCTTCATTCACCTCAGCTCCTTGACTGATCAGATATTTGATAACATCAAGATGACCATTCTGAGCAGCACTGTGTAATGCAGTCCTACCGTCATTATTTCCCTTATTCACCTCAGCTCCTTGACTGATCAGATATTTGGTGACATCAAGATGACCATTCTGAGCAGCACCGTGTAATGCTGTCCAACCCTCAATATCTCCCTTATTCACCTCAGCTCCTTGACCGATCAAATATATGGTGATATCAAGATGACCATTCTGAGCAGCACTGTATAACGCAGTCCTACCGTCATTTTTTCCCTTATTCACCTCAGCTCCTTGACTGATCAGATATTTTGTGATATCAAGATGACCATTGTTAGCAGCACATTGTAAGGCAGTCCACCCGTCATTATTTCCTTCATTCACCTCAGCTCCTTGACTGATCAGATATTCGGTGACATCAAGATGACCATTCTGAGCAGCAATGTGAAATGCAGTCCAACCGTCATTATCTCTCTTAGTCACCTCAGCTCCTTGACTTATCAGATATTTGATGACATCAAGGTGACCCTCCTGAGCAGCACTGTGTAGTGCAGTCCAACCATCAGTTTGTCCCTCATTTACGTCCGCACTAGCTCCTTGACTGATCAAATATTTAGTGACATCAAGATTACCTATGTGAGCAGCAATGTGAAATGCAGTCCAACCTTTGTTATCTACCTTATTCACCTCAGCTCTTTGACTGATTAGATATGTGATAACATCAAGATGACCATTCTGAGCAGCACCGTGTAATGCAGTCCTACCCTCATTATCTCCCTTGTTCACCTCAGCTCCTTGACTGATCAGATATTTGGTGATATCAAGATGACCCTCAAGAGCAGCACTGTGTAAGGGTGTTTGTCCATCTGGAGTCGCCTTCTCTACATCAGCACCTTGGTTTATGAGATACTCAGTGATGGTACTATGGTCTTTTTTCACCACATTATGTAAACTTGTGTTTCCATCATGGTCTGCCCGGATTATGTTAGAAACATTTTTTTTCTGTTTTGTTACGCTTTTAAATTTAAACCTCATTTCTGCTGCATGAAGCTGTTGATTTATGTCCTCTTTACTTGAAAAAGCACAACCTTAATACCAGACATCATAATCAAGCACAGTTCCTTGTAATCGCCTACTTCTCTCTTAAAGCTTGACTTCGACATTTTACGATTCAGAATCTACATGTAAATCTCTTTGTAGCAGATAGTCCCGTTGCATTATGCATTTTACAAGCGTACGCATACACCACACTGATTTGTTTCTTTTCTCTCAATTTGCAGTTGTCATTTTTCTTGTTTTCAACAAGTTCCAAAGTCCTGTGCAGTGAACCAATTGTAGTTCAAATATCTGTCATTCCTACTCCACTGTTAGGCTTCTGTCTTTCCTCTTTTTATTTTGGTTATCATCAAAATTTCAATAAATATAAAGCGAGAGCATTTCTATATAATCCCCCCTTTCTCTTTCACCATAAAACAAAGGGCGGAATCGTTTGTTCTGTAGAACAGGTGAATATGCATGTGACACATTTTTACATTATAGCAGTGAACGGATGTTCCTTTGTCTACCTGAGGAACTGTATATTTTGTCCGCTTTCTTTGTCAGTCATGTTCATAGTGATACATTCACATGAAACTATGTATAAACATTTTCAAGGAGGGACTTATATTAAGGACAAACAGTCCACGTTTTAATTGTTTTAAGAATCAATTCATATTCAAGAAGCATAAATTTGCCCCCCCCCCCTACTGACGTATCTTACTACCAAATTATTGAATTACGAACTATGCGTGGAGGAGGCTGATTCCTATCCTTTAATAATTGCACTTTTCATGATTTAAAAAAATTATAGCTGATAATTGTACTAGGTATGGTATTGACAATGCGGTGAAGGTTGGGACAAAAATCCAACTGAAAATAGCCATTATTGTGATAACAATGATAACGACGATGATGTGTACAGGATTATAATGAAAATGGCGATCAGGGTAATAAAGGCGAAGATGATGATATTTCTAGTCAACAGTTTTTATCTATTTCATTGGGGTCCATGGAACTTGGCAAAAATACATTTTTACAAAGTCTTCTATATGGAAATCCCCGTTGAAAAGAAGTCAACGTGGTGTATTGCTCTTGGGCAAGACATTAATTCTCAGTCCCAGTCACGTCTATGGCTAGGCCTAGGTCGGCTCGTCGCTCGTATGAGAATGTTAACCTGCTTTATTGGATTTAGGTACACATGAGTTTGTCAATATTTACCACAATGCATACGGTAGTTAAACATCAAATGGAGAGGGCAAGAAAAGGAACAGAATTGTATAAAACATCATTCTAAGAAGGGATCAGAAGGGATCCCCTCTTGGGGAAAAGTTTAAAAAGTGTTTGGAAGTTACGTTTCTAGTGGGAAGAGGTCAAGCTACATGCAGCAAAACTCATAAACGCATGGTCATGGAATAGCCTGCGCCCCGTAAAACACTTCCCTTTTAGGTGCCATTGTATATTTTTCGACGACGTTACAGAGACACAATTAAATGGATTACATTGGAAAAAAAATGAAATATTCTTTAGTTGACTGAACATGTGTATTCTACCATAATAATTACGGTAGACATCTGCACCCAGGCTTCTTGCGTCCATGCATCAATTCGGTTACCTTAATTTCATTGACGTTATCCCGACATTGTCTCGATTAAAAGTTGCAATGCATACAATACACACAATATAACAGACAAGTTTGAAAAATCATGAACACTTTTAAGCACTTTAAAAACTACTGCATTAGTCTTCTCCTTTAATCTCAATGGTCAGTAAGGTACGTTACATACATTCATTTGGGAAACTATTTGCTCAACACTGCTATTAAAGTAATGTAGTAAAAAAAAAAAAGGGATTTTTGCATGTGCTTTGAAGTATTGACCCATTCAAAATGACAAACATCTTTTCCCTTTGTCAAATACCAATGTCAATGATAGCAGCTTACAGCCTTCTGGACTTGATTATTTCCCGCTTATGTGACTTATTTTGCATCTCAGTAAACCAATATTGTACTATTATCTATGATTTCATCATGAAAGGAAAATATGTACATTGTTTGGAAGGAGTGCCAAACACAATTCAAGTCTTTGTAGATCAATTGATTTTTGTACATGCTTGGATATGGTCTCATGCACAATTTTGCAATCAACCCATACTGTGTCATTAAAGCACTTTTGTACAGACCCTGCACGTAAATCCCATACATTATTCTGCCTGGTATGCTTAGAGTTAAATTATTTTGGGATTTCCCTTATGTGAATATGTGGTGCCTGTTTTGGCATCGCTTCAAATACTGAAGGATGCCGTACCATTGTGCGGGATCGTTTAACAATGTTAAATCTGAGATACACGGCCCTACGTGTTATCAGTGTCTGTGATATGGTGTAATATTGAAGCCCTAAAAAAAATTGCGCTTCAAAATGATCAAGAAGTGCCTCAAAAAATTAAAAATCTTTGAGTGACCAGTTTTACCATACTCGTTTTCCCCAATAGTCTGTAGTGTTATGAAAACCCTTTGGCAGACGGTTTTCAAAATTTCTAATTCCAATCATAAATATCTTGATAATCAGACAGGTGATCGGCTTGTAAAAGTCATGGGGTTCCTGACTGACCTAAAGGTTTATAATTATCATTGCAGCATGAGCTAAATCCAGAATTTTGTTTTAGAATCTGAGGCAAAGTTACTGGATCCCTTTAATAGGCTTTAATATCTCTTTACAACTAGCCAAACAAAGTATTGAACTGTATCATTTCGAGAAGAATAAGTGGAATGAAATATGTAGAGAGGAGTGAATCAAACACCAGATGGTTTTACTTTCTATATGCTCAACCAAAGGCATAGATATTATTATAATGAAGAACATTTGAGCAATAAAAAGCTGAACATGGAAATGAGATTTTACAATGTCTGGCTATGGTACGATAAGGATAATATTTCTGGCTTTTTATCCAATGTGACCGACCCTGTTCAAGAATTTGAAGAAAAAAATGGAACAGTTCATATAGCGGCCAGTATGATTATGACAATGACATTAAACGTTTGACAGTAACCAAAATAAGTGGCGTAATGAGTAAAAACATTTTTTTTTTTTTTTTTTTTTTTTTTTGGGGGGGGGGGGGGGGGGCGGGGCAGAACAAAATCTGCATCACCACCACTCTTACATGCAGGCCCCGCTGAACATTTGTTAAAGTGGGTGGGGGGGAGGCTAAAGAATTTACGATCATATAGAGCATAGCGTAAATTTGCATGGCGTCTTGGGGCAGAGCCCCCTGAAGCTCAGGGGGGTATGGGCATTTAATAACGTTCAGATGAGCATATTTTGATACCTTATTCATGAAACTGGCAGTTCACTTATTGGCGTGGGATCCAGGGGGCTGAGCCCCATGAAACTCAGGGGTTTTAGGCATTAAATTAGGGAGGTGAGGTGAGCAGAATAACAAGTGAGAGGGTTGTAGAAAGAGAGAGAGGGGAGGGATCGATATAGAGAAAGAGAGAGAAGGGACACAGGAGAGAGAGAGAGAGAAAAGGGATACAAGAGAGAGAGAGAGAAAGAGGGTGGTGGAGAGAAAAAT